TGGGATATAGGAGATGGGACTGGAGGAGGAGGAGGATGTGGGATATAGGAGATGGGACTGGAGGAGGAGGATGTGGGATATAGGAGATGGGACTGGAGGAGGAGGATGTGGAATGGGATTGGAGGAGGAGGATGTAGGATGAGGAGATGGGACTGGGGGAGGAGGATGTAGGAGATGAGACTGGAGGATAATGACATGGGATGGGGAAGATGGGACTGGAGGAGGATGTGGGATATAGGAGATGGGACTGGAGGAGGAGGATGTGGGATATAAGAGATGGGAATGGAGGAGGAGGATGTGGGATATAAGAGATGGGACTGAAGGAGGAGGATGTGGAATGAGATTGGAGGAGGAGGATGTGGAATGAGATTGGAGGAGGAGGATGTAGGATGAGGAGATGGGACTGGAGGAGGATGTGGGATATAGGAGATGGGGCTGTAGGAGGAGGATGTGGGATGGGGAAGATGTGACTGGAGGAGGATGTGGGATGGTGAAGTGACTGCAGGAGTAAGATGTAGGATGGAGGAGACAGGACTGGAGGAGGAAGGAGATGGGACTGGAGGAGGACGTGGGATGACAGCATGGTCCCCCTAGCTGTGGGGCCAGCAGTGCCGAGTGTTGGGAGCGCCACGTTTCTTCATCACTTGGTCTCGGCCCGATAGTAATATTACACAGCACACTGATAGATGATAGATGATAGATGATGGAGACCCCCCCCCCCGCTCCTCCTCTTCATCTTCCTAAATGCCGGCAGTAGGTATTGGTGTTTGGTATTGGCAAGTGCTTTAAGAAAAGAAAAAAAAAAAAAAAAGAAGTGCTATTGCTGCATCCCTAGTTCTCTCTGGAGTCACACCTCTCTATTTTTTTGCACCCTCTCCGGCTCCATCATCCACACCTCAGAACTCTGGCATTAGACCCTCCAGGAGTGGGACCCTGGGTTGGCGCACATGGGCAGTGCACACTGGGTTCGCTTTCCTATGAGGATCTAATGCCATCGCTGCGCACACGGGGGGCGGAGGGGCGATACGGCTGTAAACACACAGCACGCCTATCACGCCGGCTCGCCCGCCGTTCACCTCCTGCTGTGCGGCCCCATTCCCAACCAGGCCACGGACCGGTACCAGTTCTCAGCCCAGGAATTGGGTCCAGTTCTTTCTGAGCCTAGTGAACTGTCCCTTGGGAATGTTCTTGATCCAAGTAGGATGATGACAGCTCCGATAATGCAGGTTTGAGTTTCCAGATGTGGGTTCAAAATGGGTCTCTTTCAAGATGATCGATCTCAAACCGGGTTCTAGAGATGGAACTAAGGATACCAATGGTATAGGACTGGACACAGGGGATGGTGGAAGGGGGACTGTCCCAAATGAGGGGAGTATCAGGCTCAGGATGTCTGGATTGCATGGAACACCTGTGCATCCTTGTGTGGGAAAATAAAACCCTCACAGGAGTATCTACAGGGGTCACAGTTGCGACCCGGCCCCATGCAGCAGGGAGCCCTTGCGGCCCCCTTTATTGTTGGATAGGAGGAGTGGGGGAGGCGGATGCATATAGAGGAAACGATCTCTCTATGTTCCTCCAGCCGCTGAATGCCTGCGGGAGGGAGAGGAGAAGCCAGCAATCAGCGGCTGGAGGAGACACATGGAGAGGTCAATTGTTCTATATGCGGCCACCCCTGCGGCTCCTATCCAGTATTTCTCTGCTGTGCTCTCTTCCCCCAACCCCCCCCCCCCCCCCCCCCCGTACTCTTCCGGACCCCCTCTCAACTCCTGCAGATCTGCCGGGTTCCCCCCTCCCCTCTCCAGGGGATGGATCTGTCAGGATGGAGCGTTAGTGATCCGCACTGATCACTGACTCTGTCCATTCATAACTGAAACATAGTAAATTGTGTATACCATGTTTCATGGTTTGTGATTGGACAGGAGCGTGGAGGAGATTGGACAGGAGCGTGGAGGAGATTGGACAGGAGCGTGGAGGAGATTGGACAGGAGCGTGGAGGAGATTGGACAGGAGGGTGGAGGAGATTGGACAGGAGGGTGGAGGAGATTGGACAGGAGGGTGGAGGAGATTGGACAGGAGGGTGGAGGAGATTGGACAGGAGGGTGGAGGAGATTGGACAGGAGGGTGGAGGAGATTGGACAGGAGGGTGGAGGAGATTGGACAGGAGGGTGGAGGAGATTGGACAGGAGGGTGGAGGAGATTGGACAGGAGGGTGGAGGAGATTGGACAGGAGGGTGGAGGAGATTGGACAGGAGGGTGGAGGAGATTGGACAGGAGGGGTGGAGGAGATTGGACAGGAGGGTGGAGGAGATTGGACAGGAGGGTGGAGGAGATTGGACAGGAGGGTGGAGGAGATTGGACAGGAGGGTGGGAGGAGATTGGACAGGAGGGTGGAGGAGATTGGACAGGAGGGTGGAGGAGATTGGACAGGAGGGTGGAGGAGATTGGACAGGAAGGTGGAGGAGATTGGACAGGAAGGTGGAGGAGATTGGACAGGAAGGTGGAGGAGATTGGACAGGAAGGTGGAGGAGATTGGACAGGAAGGTGGAGGAGATTGGACAGGAAGGTGGAGGAGATTGGACAGGAAGGTGGAGGAGATTGGACAGGAAGGTGGAGGAGATTGGACAGGAAGGTGGAGGAGATTGGACAGGAAGGTGGAGGAGATTGGACAAGAGAGTGGAGGAGATTGGACAAGAGAGTGGAGGAGATTGGACAAGAGAGTGGAGGAGATTGGACAAGAGAGTGGAGGAGATTGGACAAGAGAGTGGAGGAGATTGGACAAGAGAGTGGAGGAGATTGGACAGGAAAGTGGAGGAGATTGGACAAGAGAGTGGAGGAGATTGGACAGGAAAGTGGAGGAGATTGGACAGGAGAGTGGAGGTCCCAAAGGTGAGATGTCAGGAGTCGGTTTAGCCCCCCGATATCTCAGCAAAGCCCCCCAACGGGCCCCCAAAACATTTTTTGCATAAAATTAAGAGAAAAAAAAAGTGAAAATGGGATTTTTTTATAAATTAAAAATAAATTACTGACACCAGTTGCAGAACTACCGGGGTCACAAAGGTCGCACTTGCGACCGGTCCCTGGCGTTCCGCCACTTTGCTCGGAGGGAAGGGCCCCGACCAAGGGTCAGGGGGGACACGTCCTGGTTTCACATGGGAGTATGCGGTGGTATACCTGTGTGAATGAGGCCCTATGACCCCCGGCTCCATATCAGGATCGCAGGCATTAGAGCTTTATTGAATCATCCCAAAGAAAACATAAAATCAGGAAAAAAAAAAGAAAAAAGCCAACACACAATTTTTTTTTTTTTTTAGTTTAAAAACATTACTCATTTATTCAACGAGCCCTGCCCTCTCACTCCAAATAAAATTAATTCAAATATTAAACCTCCTGGCGGAGATAAACACTTACAGCAACGGTACCGAATCAGTACTTCTTCCAAAAAAAAAAAACAAAAAAAAAAACAGAAAAAAAAAAAAAAAAAAATCTCCCACATCTCCCAACTACACAACAGCGCCCCCCCAGTGGCTCTCAGCAGCATGAGCATCTCTTTTCAAAGTGCGGCCAGTTGTATGCAAGCCGCTCTCTGCCAGAGGAGCTGGACGACCCCTCTGACAAATGACGGCCACGACGCGACTTCAAAATAAAAAAAAAAAAGTTCAATAAAAAAACCGCCCCTAACGTCCGGCCGCGGGCCTTCAGCAGTGGGATGCCGCAATGGAGACGAAGGACCGCGGCGGCCGCGAGCGCCAGCGGGATGTCGACGAGTTTGCCTAGCAGGCTCCTGGCCGTGGCGTTCTCCAGACCCTCCAGCTGGACAACTTGCTGCTGTTGGAGTTCCGTCGTTGAGTTTTGTGTCCGGCACGCCTCTAGCGCCATGAACCGTAGAATACTGCTCGCAGTTTGTAAGGGGAGGAGTCAGGAAAGCAGACGCTAGACGTTAAAACTGGTGACATCCTGAGCAGCAAAGGGGGTCAAGCTGAATTATAGATGGCGTTTCAGAACAGCAGTCCCCTCCCCCCTTGGAGTGGTAGCGCCAGATTGTCCGCCGCCGCAGCGGCGGGAGGTTAGTGCTGGCTGAGGGGGGGTGCCGCGGCTCAGCTCCTGCAAAGAAAAGGGGTTAGGGTGGGGGGGGGGATGGGAGAAAGTCCAGAGTTTCAGTGTAAAGGCAGTTTGGACCCCCTTGGACCGCGGTACCACCTGTTGACCTCAGCATTTTGAAGGTGCAGAAATGTCCGGCTTCCCCTCCCCCACTCCCCTGGGATACAGAAGCAGTAAGGCACTTGGTAAAGTTGATGGTTTTTTTTTTCCGGGTCAGGCGGATGTGGCAGAAAGCAGGTTGCTGTGCCTTATTGTCGCAATGCAAACTGTCCGAGCTCCAGGGGGCTTCCGGCATTTCTTGCTGAAGTCAGAGTTGCCCCCTTTTTTGTCACAGACCCTGAAGGCACAGTACTGAAGTCCAAGGAGTGGGGGGGGGGGAGGTGGGGTTTTGGCGCCAGGGGAGTGGGTCTGAGCAAGGGAAGGTCCAAGTAAACGCAGGGGGGGGGGGGGGGGGGGGGTAAAAAAAAAAAAATTTTTTAAAAACAACGCAGTAGTTTTTCTCCTTCAGTCGGCGGGCACAAAGCGCCCTCAAATAAAAAAACAAAAAGTTCAAAACTTCTTTCATTCTATGTAAACAGTACACTCTCGCAGCCCCCTCTACCTGCTGCCCCAGTGACTTCCGACTTTTAGATCGCGGGGGAGGGGTGTTGAAAGCGCCCATAGCAGCCTTCCTGGGTTGTAAGGCGTGAGGAAGGGCGGGGCAGTGCGAATTGGCAGTTTTCCAACTCTCGAGTGACCTCGGATAAAACTCGATGAAAAGAAAAAAAAAAAATCGGCATCACTGCCAACACCCTCTCCCCCCCCCCACCCACCACCGCCATCAGGTCGATGGGTTCTTCCTGATTCACCAGACCGAAGACTGTACCCACTTATTTCACAGTTTGTGTCGGGGGGGAGCGTGGTTATCTCGGGGGCGACAGTAGTCGTTCCAGGTATTCGGATAAGGAATCTGAGTGTTTATAAAAGCAGCGCGGCCACCAGGACTAGGAGGACCGTCCCTAACGTCCGACCGCGGGTCTTTAGTAGCGGGACAACACAGTTGGCCACAGTGGAGACGAAGACCAGGACCACGGCCATGAGCGCCAGCAGGATGTTGATGAGTTTGCCTAGTAGGTTCCTGGCCGTGGCGTTCTCCAGACCTTCCAGCTGGACAACTTGCTGCTGTTGCTGTTGGAGTTCCATCTTTGAAATCCGGGTCTGGCAAGCCTCTAGCGCCTCCTGCAGGAGAGATGGAAAAAAAAAAAATGGGTCACCTAATGGCTCAGCTTGGGAGAGTCCTCAGTGAGGGAAACATATTTTGGAGGCTTTGTAGCTGAGAACAAATGTAGATGGCCCTCAAGAAGTGCAACTTTCTTTTTTTGTACAGTGAAGGAAATGCGTATTTGCTCCCCGGCTGATGGTGAATGTTCGCCCCTCACACAGAAATGATCGGTCTAACAATGGAATGTTCGCCCCTCACACAGAAATGATCGGTCTAACAATGGAATGTTCGCCCCTCACACAGAAATGATCGGTCTAACAATGGAATGTTCGGTGTAACACTGAGAGACAGAATACAACAACAAATTCAGCAGAAATGCGTCTAACAAATGATGACTGATCTGCATGTTCATGAGGGAAAGAAGGATTTGATCCCCTTCACAAAACATGACTTAGTACTTGGTGGCCAATCCCTTGTTGGCAATTACAGAGGTCAACGATTCCTGGAGTTGGCCCCCAGGTTCGCACACATCTTAAGAGGGATTTTGGCCCACTCCTCTTGGCAGATCCTCTCCAAGTCATTAAGGTTTGGTGGCTGATGTTTGACAACTCGAACTTTCAGCTCCCTCCACAGATTTTCAATCAGATGAAGGTGTGGAGACTGGCTAGGCCACTCCAGGACCATAATGAGCTTCTTCTTGAGCCGCTCCTTTGTAGCCTTGGCCGTGTGTTTCGGGTCATTGTCATGCTGGAACACCCATCCACCACCCAGTTTCAATGTCCTGGCTGAGGGAAGAAGGTTCTCACCCAAGATTTGAGGGTACATTGCCCCGTCCATTGTTCCTTTGATGCGGTGCAGTTGTCCTGTCCCCTTAGCAGAAAAACCCCCCCAAAGCAGAATGTTTCCACCACCATGTTTCACAGTTGGGATGGTGTTCTTGGGGTCATAGGCAGCATTCCTCCTCCTCCAAACACGGCGAGTTGAGTTGATGCCAAAGAGCTGGATTTTGGTCTCATCTGACCACAACACTTCCCACCAGTCCTCCTCTGCATCATTCAGATGTTCAGTGGCAGACTTCAGACGGGCCTGGACATGTGCTTTCTTGAGCAGAGGGACCTTGCGGCACTGCAGGATTTCAGTCCTTGTCGGCGTAGTGTGTTACCAATTGTTTTCTTGGTGACTGTGGTCCCAGCTGCCTGGAGATCATTGACAAGATCCTCACGTGTAGTTCTGGGATGATTCCTCACTGTTCTCATGATCATTGACACTCCACGAGGTGAGATCTTGCATGGTGCACCAGACCTAGGGAGACTGACACTTGTTTTGTGTTTCTTCCATTTGTGAATGATTGCACCAACTGTTGTCACCTTCTCACCAAGCTGCTTGGCCATAGTTTGGTAGCCCAGTCCAGCCTTGTGTAGGTCTACCATCTTGTCCCTGACATCCTTGGACAGCTCTTTGGTCTTTGCCATGGTGGAGAGTTTGGAATCTGATGGTTTGATGGCTCCTGTGGACAGGTGTCTTTTATACAGGTAACACAATGAGATTAGCAGCACTCCCTTTAAGTGACTGCTTCTAATCTCAGTTTGTTACCTGTATGAAAGACACCTGGGAGCCAGAAATCCTGCTGAATGATAGGGGATCAAATCCTTCTTTCCCTCATGAACATGCAGATCCGTCATCATTTGTTAGACGCATTTCTGCTGAATTTGTTGTATTCTGTCTCTCAGTGTTACACCGAACATTCCATTGTTAGACCGATCATTTCTGTGTGAGGGGCGAACATTCCATTGTTAGACCGATCATTTCTGTGTGAGGGGCGAACATTCCATTGTTAGACCGATCATTTCTGTGTGAGGGGCGAACATTCCATTGTTAGACCGATCATTTCTGTGTGAGGGGCGAACATTCCATTGTTAGACCGATCATTTCTGTGTGAGGGGCGGCCATTCCATTGTTAGACCGATCATTTCTGTGTGAGGGGCGAACATTCCATTGTTAGACCGATCATTTCTGTGTGAGTGGCGAACATTCCATTGTTAGACCGATCATTTCTGTGTGAGGGGCGAACATTCCATTGTTAGACCGATCATTTCTGTGTGAGGGGGGCGAACATTCAACATCAGCCGGGGAGAAAATACGCATTTCCTTCACTGTATATGCTATTATAACATATTCAACACGCTCGAGAGATAATAAAATAAACTCCGCCTCCTGTTACTGAAGCCTGATGGGATACGTTGTTTCAGAGACCACACCCACTCTGCAAAGCCTCAAATACAATACTCCCCCCTTTAAATTCACTAGTTGCCTGGAGTTTTACAGGAATCTCTACAACACCCTTCATGGATTACCTGGATATCTCGCGCCCTCTCGTACGACTGGTAGGCGATCTTCTCCTCCATACTGGCCAGCTCCTGCTTCAAGTTGAGGATCTCGTTCTGATGGAGCTCTGTGAGGTCGTTCAGCTGCTCTTCCAGCCTTTCACACCTGATATGGGGGGGGGGGGGGGTAGAAACCCACATTGTCAGTGGCAGGATTCATTTATTTTAATTTGCACTCACAAAAAAAAAAAAAAAATTGTAAATGCTCCTTATAATACACAAGAGATCTTTTTAAACACTGGGGTTTTTTTTTTTTTTGCGCTATAAAAGGAAAAAGACCAAAAAGTTTGAAAAACAAAACAATATTTATTATTTTTTACTTTTTGCTATAAAACATTCAATAAAAAAAAAAAAAAAAAAATTAAAAATCTTCATAAATGTAGATCAAAAATTTATTCTGCTACGTTTTTGGTTAAAAAAAAAATCCCAATATGTGTATATTAATTGGTTTGTGTGAAAGTCGTGACATCTACAAACGATGATATAAATACCGGAATTTATTTTATTTTTTAAATCGTAATGGCGACCAGCAACCTATAGTGGGACTGTGATAGTGCAGCAGGCATACTGACACGGACATCACCAGAGACATTAAGAGAGTGATTGTGCTTTTTTTTTTTTTTGCACTATAAAAAGAAAAAGACCAAAAAGTTTGAAAAACAAAAAAAATATTTATTTTTTACTTTTTTACTATAAAACATTCAATTTAAAAAAAATTAAAAATCTTCTTAAATGTAGGCCAAAATGTATTCTGCTACATGGTTAAAAAAGAAAAAATCCCAATATGTGTATATTACCGTATTTGCCGGCGTATAAGACGACTTTTTACCCCTTAAAAATCTTCTCAAAAGTCGGGGGTCGTCTTATACGCCGGTATACGGCATACTGACACTTTTTAGGGGGGCGGCGCGTTGCCGCCGCCGCCGCCCCCCCCCCCCCTTCCCCCAATGGAAGGGACACTAAGTACAGGGGTGGGCAGCGGCTGTTTCTTACCTGGTTCCGGTCCAACGACGATCCGGTCCAGGAAGCGCGGCTGCGCCTTCAGTTCAGTCACTGGATGTTCATGCGGCTGCTCGGCTCCGCCTCCTCACCAGTGATTGGCCGCCAGAACTGTAACTCAGGAAAGGCACACAGGCGGCCAATCACCGGCGAGGGGGTGGAGCCGAGCGGCCCCGCGAAAATCGACTGCAGGACTAGCAGGTAAGTGGTCAGTGTAGAGGTGCTGCTGCAACCACATATGCTGGCTGCAGCAGCACCATACGAGAACAGGGTCAGCAAGTGTCAGTGGGAGGAATAGTGCCCCATCATTGGTGTCACTGATACCAATGATGGAGCACTATTCCTCCCACTGACACCAACGATGGGGCACTATTCCTCCCACTGATACCAATGATGGGGCACTATTCCTCCCACTGACACCAATGATGAGGCACTATTCCTCCCACTGATACCAATGATGGGGCCCTATTCCTCCCACTGACACCAACAATGGGGCACTATTCCTTCCACTGATACCAACGATGGGGCACTATTCCTCCCACTGACACCAACGATGGGGCACTATTCCCCCCCCCCCACTGACACCAATGATGGGGCACTATTCCACCCCCACTGACACCAATGATGGGACACCATTCCTCCCACTGATACCAATGTTGGGACACCATTCCTCCCACTGACACCAATGATGGGGCACCATTCCTCCCACTGACACCAATGATGGGGCACTATTCCCCCACTGATACTAATGATGGGGCACTATTCCTCCCACTGACACCAATGATGGGGCACTATTCCCCCCACTGATACTAATGATGGGGCACTATTCCTGCCACTGATACCAATGATGGGGCACTATTCCTGCCACTGATACCAATGATGGGGCACTATTCCTCCCACTGATACTAATGATGGGGCACTATTCCTCCCACTGATACTAATGATGGGGCACTATTCCTGCCACTGATACCAATGATGGGGCACTATTCCTATTGCCACTGATACCAATGATGGGGCACTATTCCTGCCACTGATACCAATGATGGGGCACTATTCCCCCCACTGATACTAATGATGGGCACTATTCCTGCCACTAATGCCAATGATGGGGCACTATTCCTCCCACTGACACCAATGATGGGGCACTATTCCTCCCACTGATACTAATGATGGGGCACACTATTCCCCCCACTGATACTAATGATGGGGCACTATTCCTGCCACTGATACCAATGATGGGGCACTATTCCCCCCACTGATACCAATGATGGGGCACTATTCCTGCCACTGATACCAATGATGGGGCACTATTCCTGCCACTGATACCAATGATGGGCAAAAAAAGGCACTATTCCTCCCACTGACACCAATGATGGGGCACTATTCCTGCCACTGACACCAAGGATGGGGCACTATTCCTGCCACTGATACCAATGATGGGGCACTATTCCCCCCACTGATACCAATGATGGGGCACTATTCCCCCCACTGATACCAATGATGGGGCACTATTCCTCCCACTGACACCAATGATGGGGCACTATTCCTCCCACTGACACCAATGATGGGGCACTATTCCTCCCACTGATACCGATGATGGGGCACTATTCCTCCCACTGACACCAATGATGGGGCACTATTCCTCCCACTGACACCAATGATGGAGCACTATTCCTCCCACTGACACCAATGATGGGGCACTATTCATCCCACTGACACCAATGATGGGGCACGATTCCTGCCACTGGTGTGCATTGGAAGAGGGGTAGTCTTATACGGCGAGTATAGCTCAAACACTAAATTTTAGCAGGAAAAGTAGGGGGGTCGTCTTATACGCCGGCAAATACGGTAATTGGATTGTGTGAAAGTCATGACATCTACAAATGATGATATATATACCAGAATTTATTTTATTTTTTAAATAGTGCAGCAGGCATACTGACACGGACATCACCAGAAACACTAATAGAGTGATTGCGCTTCTTTTTTTTTTTTTTGCGCTATAAAAGGAAACAGACTAAAAAGTTTGAAAAACAAAATATTTATTTATTACTTTTTTACTTTTTACTAAAAAACCTATTCAATAAAAAAAAATTTAAAATCTTCATAAGGAAAAAGGACCAAAAAGTTTGAAAAACAAAATATTTATTATTTTTACTTTTTACTAAAAAAAACCTATTCAATAAAAAAAATTTAAAATCTTCATAAGGAAAAAGGACCAAAAAAGTTTGAAAAACAAAATATTTATTATTTTTTACTAAAAAAAAAAACCTATTCAATAAAAAAAATTTAAAATCTTCATAAGGAAAAAGGACCAAAAAGTTTTGAAAAACAAAATATTTATTATTTTTTACTTTTTACTAAAATAACCTATTCAATAAAAAAAAATTTAAAATCTTCATAAGGAAAAAGGACCAAAAAGTTTGAAAAACAAAATATTTATTATTTTTTACTTTTTAAAACTAAAAAAACCTATTCAATAAAAAAAAATTTAAAATCTTCATAAGGAAAAAGGACCAAAAAGTTTGAAAAACAAAATATTTATTATTTTTTACTAAAAAAAAACCTATTCAATAAAAAAAATTTAAAATCTTCATAAGGAAAAAGGACCAAAAAGTTTGAAAAACAAAATATTTATTATTTTTTACTTTTTACTATAAAACCTATTCAATAAAAAAAAAAAAATTAAAAATCTTCATAAAAATGTAGGCCAAAATGTATTCTGCTACATGGTTCAAAAAAAAAAAAAAAAAAATCCCAATATGTGTATATTAATTGGTTTGTGTGAACGTCATGACATCTACAAATGACGATATATACACCGGAATAGTAATGGTGACCAGCAACTTATAGTGGGACTGTGATAGTGCAGCAGGCATACAGACACGGACATCACCAGAGACACTAGTAGAGTGATTGTGCTTTTTTTTTTTTTTTTTTAAATTTGCGCTATAAAAAAGGAAAAAGACCAAAAAGTTTGAAAAACAAAATTTTTTTTTTTTTTTTACTTTTTGCTAAAAAGCATATTCAATAAAAGAAATTAAAAATCTTCATAAATGTAGGCCAAAAATGTATTCTGCTACATGTTTTGGTTGAAAAAAAAAAAAAAAACCCAATATGTGTAGATTAGTTGGATTGTGTGAAAGTCATGACATCTACAAATGAGGATATATATACTGGAATTTAATTATTTTTTTAAATGGTAATGGCGACCAGCAACCTATACTAGTACTCTGATAATGCAGCAGGCATACTGACACCACGGACATCACCAGAGACACTAATAGAGAGATTGTGCTTTTTTATTTTTTTAAGCACTAGAGACTCTAATGACACTGGGCAGGAAGGAGCTAACATCTGGGGCAATCAAAGGGTTACCTGGTGCCTAACCCATGTATAATGGGTGCAAAATGTGCTGTTTTACTAAGGGATGTCATAGTTTTGTCTCCCTGCTGTGCAGGGAAACAAAAACCAGCACATCCCTGTCAGTAGAGAAATCTGTCTCCTGTCACTCGCTCTGACGATCGGCAGGAAAAAGCACAGACACTCTACTAATGACACCGGGCAGGAAGGAATTAACATCTGGGGCAAAGGGTTACCTGGTGCCTAACCCATGTATAATGGGTGCAATATATGCTGTTTTACTAAGATGTCATCGTTTTTGTCTCCCTGTTTTGCAGGGAGACAAAAACCGGCACATCCCTGTCAGTAGAGAGATCAGTCTCCTGTCACTTGCTCTGACGATCAGGAGGAAAAAGCACAGACACTTTACTAATGACACTGGGCAGGAAGGAGTTAACATCTGGGGCAATCAAAGGGTTACCTGGTGCCTAACCCATGTATAATATGTGCTGTTTTACTAAGGGATGTGATTGTTTTTGTCTCCCTGCTTTGCGGGGAGACAAAAACCGGCAAATCCCCATCAGTAGAGAGATCTGTCTCCTGTCACTTGCTCTGACGATCGGCAGGAAAAAGCACTGACACTACTAATAACTCCTTCGTGCCCAGTGTCATTAGTAGTGTCAGTGCTTTTTCCTGCCGATCGTCAGAGCAAGTGACAGGAGACAAATCTCTCTACTGATGGGGATTTGCCGGTTTTTGTCTCCCCGCAAAGCAGGGAGACAAAAACGATCACATCCCTTAGTAAAACAGCACATATTATACATGGGTTAGGCACCAGGTAACCCTTTGATTGCCCCAGATGTTAACTCCTTCCTGCCCAGTGTCAACATCTGGGGCAATCAAAGGGTTACCTGGTGCCTAACCCATGTATAATGTGTGCAATATGTGCTGTTTTACTAAGGGATGTGATCGTTTCTGCCTACCTGTTTTGCAGGGAGACAAAAACCGGCACATCCCTGTCAGTAGAGAAGTCTGTCTCCTGTCACTTGCTCTGATTGGCAGTCCCAGCTGTGTTTTCACTGACCGGGACCCACCGATCGGCGTGTAAAAGAGCCATTGACAGCGTGGGCAGGCAGGTGGACGTGCGCGCGCCCACTACCCTGAGAAGCAGAATCACGTATACATACACGTGATTCTGTGCAGCCGGCCAGCACTGTAGCAGTAAAGCTACAGTGTGCGGCCGGCAAGTGGTTAAAACTTCTGGAAGTTTCCGAAAACTTCCAAATCTCTTGTGTATTGTCTATATAAACACTGAAGTCCCACACATGAACTGAACATTTGCAAGCGCTACACAATCACGCGTTTATTGCGATTGCAGCTTTATTCGTCACAGAGTGTATTACAACTGCATCGAGCTGTGTCCACTAAGGAGGTCATATGCTGTATAACCAGCAGGTGGCGCTCAGATACCACCCAATGGGCAATATTTCACCACTGGATGGGTCCTGTTTTCCAGGAACGTGATGGTTTGGACTTCCCTGGTAGCAGTCTTTGCGTGTGCCTGGAAAACACTACACATGTGCAGATGGCTGGGGGGAGCCGGCGCATACGCAGATGTGAGTCTTGTGGGAGGGGGTGGGAGGGTAAAGTATTTTTGTTGTCTATTTGTAAAGGAGGGGGGAGAAGACAGGGCAGCATAATATAACCTTTAGGGTGAAGGTCCACTTTAATACCCAAATCAGCCATAACTAGCTTTAGGACCTAAAAATACTTCAGTGATGTTTTTTAATTACTTGTGACCTCTTTTAGGAAGTTTCTTCTGACTTCCTGTATCTGTGACAACAGGGTAAGGGATGAGGAGAGAGGGTGTCACTGGGATATACAGTCTAAGCCAGCAATGGGCAAACTACGGCCCGCGGGCCGTATACGGCCCGGCGGACCTTTTAATCCGGCCCGCGGAGCGTGATACTGTCAGGATGTGTGTAGGCGGGGCAGCGTGACGAACGCGAGGGGAGCTAGGCTCCTCTCACAGTCCGCCCTGAAGACCGGTGTAGCATGAAAATCTGTCTCCTATGGGGATCTGTCCCCCTCGACGTATCTGCGCATGTGCCGGAGATCGCCGATCGGCTGCTAATGCCTGAAACTGGCACATGCGCAGATACGTCGAGGGGGACAGATCCTCATAGGAGACAGATTTTCATGCTACACCGAACGGCGCGGGAACACGGCGAGAGGAACGCGCGGAGCAAAGGTAAGTGAATTGACACAGGGGGATTGGGGACTTAATATGGGGGATGAATTACTATGGGGGATGAATTACTATATGGGGGATGAATTACTATATGGGGGATGAATTACTATATGGGGGATGAATTACTATATGGGGGATGAATTACTATATGGGGGATGAATTACTATATGGGGCATGAATTACTATATGGGGATGAATTACTATATGGGGCATGAATTACTATATGGGGCATGAATTACTATATGGGGCATGAATTACTATATGGGGCATGAATTACTATATGGGGCATGAATTACTATATGGGGCATGAATTACTATATGGGGGATGAATTACTATATGGGGGATGAATTACTATATGGGGGATGAATTACTATAGGGGGGATGAATTACTATAGGGGGGATGAATTACTATAGGGGGGATGAATTACTATAGGGGGGATGAATTACTATAGGGGGATGAATTACTATAGGGGGGATGAATTACTATAGGGGGGATGAATTACTATGGGGGATGAATTACTATATGGGGGATGAATTACTATATGGGGGATGAATTACTATATGGGGGATGAATTACTATATGGGGGATGAATTACTATATGGGGGATGAATTACTATATGGGGGATGAATTACTATGGGGGATTAATTACTATGCTTACTATGGGGGAATATTACTATACTTACTATGGATGACACATACACATCATTCATCTACTCTTGGTCTGGCCCCCGGGTCCAATATATGAACCCATTGCGGCCCTCAAGTCAAAAAGTTTGCCCACCCCTGGTCTAAGCCTTCCTTATTTTAATCTAAAAAAACATGTTTTTTGACTCCTCATTGGAGAGATTTCCTATCATTTCTAGGTCTAAGTTTCTCAGTGTGGTCCCGTCCAGTGTGGTCCCGCACAGCAATAAAAAAAAAAAAAAAAAAAAAAAAACAAAAAAAAAAAAAACTAAATCCCACTCCCCCAAAAAAAAAAAAAAATGACCAAATATTTTGGGCTGTTGTTTTGGCCTAGACTTACCTGTACCACTCCTCCTGCAGGGACTGTGAGTCTTGTGAGTTTTTTGATCTCTTGCTCCACCACTTCAAATCCCACCAGTCCTCCATGGAGTTGGTTTGGGAGCTACCTCCACCTCCCCCTCCTCCACTGGTACTGTTGGCTCCCAGTGATTGAGAAGTAATGCTACAGCAATCTTCTTGATCTAATAGGAAGTTTCCAAGTGGGGCCCCAAACTGCAATTAAAAAAAAGCTAACCCTTCCCCTCTCCAGCCCAAGTATTTGGGCTGTTGTTTTGGCCTAGACTCATCTGTACGGCTCCTCCTGCAGGGACTGAGTCTTGTGAGTTTCTCCAATCTCTTGCTTCACCACTTAAAATCCCACCAGTCCTCTATGGAGTTGGTTAGGGAGCTACTTCCACCTCCCCCACCAGTCCTCCATGCTCGTCCAAGGAGTTGGTTTGGGAACTACCTCCCCCTCCTCCACTGGTACTGTTGGCTCCCAGTGATCGAGAAGTAATGCTACAGCAATCTTCTTGATCTAATAGGACGTTTCCAAGTGGGGCCCCAAACTGCAATGAAAAAAGCTAACCCCCTTCCCCCCCCCCCCCCCCCCCCCCCCCCCAAGTATTTGAGCTGTTGTTTTGGCCTAGACTCATCTGTACGGCTCCTCCTGGAGGGACTATAGGATGAAGGAATAATCGCTCCGATACTGAATCCTTACTACTTCCATGACTCCTAGCTATATGAGTCTTGCAAGTTTCTTCGATCTCCTGCATCACCACTTCGAATCCCACCAGTCCTCCATGCATGTCCAAGGAGTTGGTTTGGGAGCTACCTCCACCTCCTCCACCAGGTCCTCAACTGGTACAGTTGGCTCCCAGTGATTGAGAAGTAATGCTACAGCAATCTTCTTAAACTAATAGGAAGTTTCCAAGTAGGGTCCCAAACCGCAATTAAAAAACGCTAACCCTTCCCCTCTCCCCCCCAAGTATTTGGGCTGTTGTTTTGGCCTAGACTCATCTGTACTGCTCCTCCCTGCAGGGACTATAGGACAAAGGCGTAATCGCTCTGATACTGAATCCTTACTACTTCCAGGACTCCTAGCTATTTGAGTCTTGCAAGTCTCTGATTTCCTGCATCACCACTTCAAATCCCACCAGTCCTCCATGCATGTCCAAGGTGTTGGTTCGGTAGGTTCCTCCACCTCCCCCTTCTCCACCAGGTCCTCCGCTGGTACTATTGGCTCCATGTGATCCAGAAGTAGCGCTAGGGAAATCATCACTCCCGTGCCTTGGGCTGGCCTAGGTGGTGTTCGGGCTTCTGCCCTGAGTCACGTCAATTTCCTGACTTCCTGATCTAACAGGTAATTAGGGGAAATTTACCAGTGGGGTCACAAACAGCAATAAAAAAAAAAAACGAACCCTTCCCCACTCCCCACAAATTAAACACTGCAGAATATTTGGACTGTTGTTTCGGCCTAGTCTTACCTGTACCGTTCTTCCTGCAGGGACTGTAGGATGAAGGAGTAATCGCTTCGATACTGAGTCCTTAACCCTTCCAGGGACTCCTCCAGCTGGTTTTGAGTCTCGCGCATTTCCTGGATCTCCTGCATCACCACTTCGAATCCCATCAGTCCTCCATGCATGTCCAAGGTGTTGGTTCGGGAGCTTCCTCCGCCTCCCCCTCCTCCACCAGGTCCTCCGCTGGTACTGTTGGCTCCAAGTGATCCAGAAGTAGCGCTAGAACAATCTTCTTCACTGCCGTACTTCGGGCTGGCCTGGAAAGCGTTCAAGGTGGACAGACTTTTGCCCTGAGTTACGTCCTCCCCTTGGGTGGAAGAAAAACCAGACGGATCGTCCAGGGATGGAATGTTTTCGTTGCTGCCAAACCGATTTGCGCAGCAAGGACGCGATCTCCCGGGGCTTTGACACCACGGCTCCAGCCGCCGAGTGGGTGGCTTGAGAGAAACTCGACAATCCCCCTCGTACACTGTCCACCACACCCTCGCTGAAGCCTGTAACTCTGGCTCCAACATCTTTCAGTCCCTGATGCATGTCCCGCAGCACGTCCTTGGGCTGGCGTGCGATTCCATTCTGCTCCACCTCACGCAGCTTGCGGTGGTAATGCTCCAACTTCTTCTGCAGCTGCAGGATGGTCTGCGATGACTTCTGGTTCTTCTTCTCAAATACCTGAAGGAAAGATAAAAAGATGTATATAAAAAGCCTGTCTTCAGGAGGGCAACTCTGGGGAGCAAATGCATCAGCCCTTTGCCATGGCTCACCAGAACAAGCTCAAAGCAGATGCAAACATCTTCTTAAGCTACATGGTATTAGCCATGGCTCGGCAAATCCGGGCCACCAGGAGGCAAGAAAATGTGTCCTGGCACCTGGGCTGTCAGTCCATTCACTGTTCTGTGCCCGACGCCCCGACTCTTGAGTGTGCTGTGCGCTCACTCAGTCTGTCACTCCTTGACTGTGCTACTGGTGTCCCGAGCTGCCCGCTCTGCTAAAGTTTCTTTTGTGTGGCCAGCGGCAGTGGGTAGGTGGGGTGTCGCGGTCACGTGAAAAGTGGTTGAATACGGTTCACTGAAACTGACAAATGGGTCGCATCTTCATCACTGAGCCTGGATTGGAGCTTAGTTGGTCGGTGGTGGTGAAGAGTAAGAGGGGAGCTTTTGTATACTGGCCTGCCCATTGAATGTGTAGGTGCTACATTGCTGCTGCACAATTCTTATACCTGTGAACTGAGCTGATGTTTTTCGGCTGTCTCTTTGCTGAATGGGACTGTCTCTTTGCTGGATATATATGGGGATGTCTCATTGCTGGATATATATGGGGATGTCTCTTTGCTGAATATATGGGGATGTCTCTTTGCTGAATATATGGGGATGTCTCTTTGCTGAATATATGGGGATGTCTCTGCTGGATTGGGCTCTTTGCTATACGGAAAGGTCTCTTTTCTGGATTGGAATGTCTCTTTGCTGAATATACAGTGCTTTGAAAAAGTATTCATACCCCCTGAAATTTTCCACATTTTGTTATGTTACAACCAAAAACGTAAATGTATTTTATTAGGATTTTACGTGATAGACCAACACAAAGTGGCACATAATTGTGAAGTGGAAGGAAAATGAGAAATAGTTTAACATTTGTGACAAATTTGTGAAAAGCGTGGCGTGCATTTGTATTCAGCCCCCTTACTCTGATACCCCTAACTAAAATCTAGTGGTACCAATTACCTTCAGAAGTCACCTAATTAGTCCCCCTGTGTGTCATGTGATCTCAGTATAAATACAGTGGTCTGTGAAACCCTCAGAGGTTTGTTAGAGAACATTAGCAAACAAAGAGCATCACGAAGGCCAATACACACCAGACAGGTCATGGATAAAGTTGTGGAGAGGTTCAAAGCTTGGGATAATTTTCTTTATAACCTAACCCTGCTTTAAACATCTCACAGAGCACTGTTCAATCCATCTGCCGAAAATGGAAAGAGTATGGCACAACTGCAAACCTACCAAGACGATTTCAAAAGTCGGATGGCATGCCGATTTCAGGTGGGATTTGCAAGACATCTGACACAGATGTCTATGGAAACCTCACCAAAAGTACTGCATGTCCTACTTAAGAAATCGGTGCGGATCCGACCAAGTCGGAACCGCACCAATATGACTACTCTAATTGCGGACAACAGGGTGCGATTTGGCATGCGATTTGCACGTGGCTTGGCATGCAAATCGCATGCCAATTTGCATCCAGTGTGGCCGGGGGACTTATGAAAGAGTGGCAAGAAGAAAGACATTGTTGAAAGAAAGAAAGAATTCCCATTTGCTGTGTCCCCCCATACAGCTTCTCGCAAATTGCAAACATGTGGAAGAAGGGGCTCTGTAGACCGAAATTACACTTTTTGGCCTAAAAGCAAAACGCTATGTTTGGTGGAAAACACTGCACATCACCCTGAACACACCATCCCCACTGTGAAACATGGTGGCAGCATCATGTGGTGGGGATGCTTTTCTTCAGCAGGGACAGGGAAGCTGGTCAGAGTTGATGGGAAGATGGATGGAGCCAAATACAGGGCAATCTTAGAAGAAAACCTGTTAGAGTCTGCAAAAGACTTGAGACCGGGGCGGAGGTTCCCCTTCCAGCAGGACAACGACCCGAAACATCCAGCCAGACCTACAATGGAATGGTTCAGATCAAAGCATCTTCATGTGTTAGAATGGCCCAGTTTTAAATCATTTTTATTCCTAATACAAGGAATTAAAACATAGGAATAAAAAGTGAAAGGAATAAAAAAAAAAAAAAAAAAATCATATGTTCACATTCTTTGTATTAGGAATAAAAGTGATATGATTTTTTTTTTTGTTAATCGTTTTTTATTCCTAATACAAGGAATGTAAACATATGATTTTTTTTTTTTTAATCACTTTTATTCCTAATACAAGGAATGTAAACATCCCTTGTAATAGAAATAAAGGGTTCAAGGTCCTCTTTGTGGAAAGATCTGGGGTCTATAAGACCCCAAATTCTCTCCTCTACCTTTAAAAGCAAAACATCAAAAATATACATTTTTGATCTTTTGCTTTTAAAAATAAAAAAAAAAATTGTTTACTTCCACCCTAGACCGGAAGTGACGTCATGACGTCGCTCCGATCCTCTAAGAAAGGGGTGGGCAACTGTGGCCCTCCAGCTGTTGTAGAACTACAAGTCTCATCATGCCTCTGCCTTTGGGAGTCATGCTTGTAACTGTCAGTTTTGCAATGCCTCATGGGACTTGTAGTTCACCAACGGCTGGAGGCCCACAGTTGCCCACCCCTGCTCTAAGATCATAGAGGTGATCAGAGATGATCTGGTCTCTGATCACCTCTATGGCCAGCCGCCGCCATGGCTTCTTCTTAGTCTGCCTATGTTTGGAGAGGCCGTGCGTCTCACCTGCTTGATGCGGGCGCCCTGTTGCCGGTCGGCATTGTTGGCCAGTTTCAGGTATTCAGCCACGTTGTCGTCTCTGGCGGTTTGCTCGATCTTGATTTTGTTCGGTTAGCTCCCCCCCCCCCCCCCCCCCCCCCCCCCCCTTAAGGATCTTCTGTTGCAGTTGCAGGATGGCGGCCTTGGTGCGCTGAGGATCGGGTGATACATCCACATCCGGGGCCAGCATGCCATCTGTTCCTGAGGACACCATACTGGATGCCTGGGACAGAGTACCACCTTCTAATCGATCGATCTGTGGAGACAAAACCATGACAAAGGGGTTACTTCTACTATACAGGGAAGATGGCAATGTAACCAATAGAATGGCCTTCACCCTCTGCCACCCAGACCAATTCTGACATTACTTTCCTACAAGTAAAATGTTGTTTTTTTTTGCTAGGAATTTGCTTAGAACCCCCAAATAAAATGCATTTTTAGGCAGAGTCCCTAGAGAATAAAATAGCGGGTGTTACAATTTTAACGTCTCACGGTATTTGCGCAACGGTTTTTCAAACGCAAATATTTTGCAAAAAATACACGAATTTGAATGCACAAAAACGCAACACAATACCTATTTTTTGTAAAATAGAAAAGATGTTCGCAGAGTAGAAGGATATCTATTGTGTACGCCCGGAATGACCAAAATAGCAAGTTCAATACTGGCGACGGTGAGCTTTCCAAATCATGTGACCGCTGTGCACTCCTTCGCGCTGTATGCGGCCTCTCAGCGGGGCGGGCCTTGATGCCGGGACGTCGCCTATATGCGTACCAAACCTGTGCAGAGAGTGCGTGCCCTGCGCGCTCCCGCCCCCAACGGAAAGCTCCCGACTGCTACTTGTGATTGGGAGCTTTCTGATCATGTGACCTGCTGTGACAGCCAATCACAACGGTCGCATGATCATAAACCCCACCCCAGTTTTAGAAACCCCTTACAGGGCCAGGAGGCGCAAGTGTTAAGGGGGGTTAACAGCCAATCACATGATCAGAACGCCTGCCTCCACCTCCTGGCATTCTGATCCACTTAAAGGGCCGGGAGAGGGGTGAATGAAGCGAATGTCGTGTCAAATATTTCACATATTCGAGGTGCAAAAGATGTATAAATGCAATGAGGATGATAGCCGCTTGGAGGATGCTTTGCGGTGAACGACCCGCAGCCGCCTGGAGGATGCTTTGCGGTGAACGGTGCACAACCGCCTGGAGGATGCTTTGCGGTGAACGAAGCGCAGCCGCCTGGAGGATGCTTTGCGGTGAACAGCGCGCAGCCGCCTGGAGGATGCTTTGCGGTGAACAGCGCGCAGCCGCCTGGAGGATGCTTTGCGGTGAACAGCGCGCAGCCGCCTGGAGGATGCTTTGCGGTGAACAGCGCGCAGCCGCCTGGAGGATGCTTTGCGGTGAACAGCGCGCAGCCGCCTGGAGGATGCTTTGCGGTGAACGACGCGCAGCCGCCTGGAGGATGCTTTGCGGTGAATGACGCGCAGCCGCCTGGAGGATGCTTTGCGGTGAACGACGCGCAGCCGCCTGGAGGATGCTTTGCGGTGAACGACGCGCAGCCGCCTGGAGGATGCTTTGCGGTGAACGACGCGCAGCCGCCTGGAGGATGCTTTGCGGTGAACGACGCGCAGCCGCCTGGAGGATGCTTTGCGGTGAACGACCCGCAACCGCCTGGAGGATGATTTGCGGTGAACGGTGCACAACCGCCTGGAGGATGCTTTGCGGTGAACAACGTGCAGCCGCCTGGAGGATGCTTTGCGGTGAACAACGTGCAGCCGCCTGGAGGATGCTTTGCGGTTAACAACGTGCAGCCGCCTGGAGGATGCTTTGCGGTGAACAGCGCGCAGCCGCCTGGAGGATGCTTTCCAATGCACTCAGAGCAGCTGACCTCCCCAGGACAGGCACCCACCAGTGTGTTCTACAGAGACCCTACCTCCAGTATAATACATTCCATCCAGCCGCCCCTTCCATACCTGTCCAGCAGGGAGCTCTGGGTGCCCCCCGCTGCAATCTGCGGCTTCCCCCGCTGCAATCTGCGGCTTCCCCCGCTGCAATCTGTGGCTTCTCCCGCCAGATATCACATCACTACTACTTTAGGCAAAACCTGCAGAATT